CATACAAATTCAACTTAAGAACAAACCTATAGTCCCTATCTTGTACGTAACCCAGGGACTACCTGTATTGGGATTTTCATATTATGCCACAATAAACACAAAAGACTAGACCTCCCGATGCTCCACCTAATGTAAAAATCCAACTTTCCAGTATCATTCCTGATATTAAACAGATTTGCAAAGAAAAAAGTGTACCTGCCCATTAAAATGGGGAAAAAAATGATCTCCATTTGTTACTAATTTTCAGACAGTTTTGTTTGAAAAATTATAAGGCAAATACAAAAAATATAAAAAAAATCAAATCCCAAAACTATGTCTATTTATTTGGGTACCTATTGAATTTAAAATAACTATATTTTAATGGCTCTGCCAATTTTTCAGGCTTCCTGGGGGCTCCCCAATTGAAAAAGCTTGGGAAACATTGCCTTAGAGGAAATACCTTAAAAGATGAAAAGATACTTCTCACACCATTAACAGCAGACAGACAGACTGACTGACCTGAAACCAGTTTGTGTCTCATATTAATTGTGAAATACTTCTCTTTCATTATACACAGCACAATAATAATGATTAGGAGTAAGATTGCTTAACACCTGCAATTATATCCCCATTTTCAGGTGCTTATAACTTTGACAACTTTAGGAACCGTGGGATCCAGAGGGGAGCAATCCTGCTACAGTCTGGAGACGGGCCGCTGCATCTGGAGAGCAGAAGTGTGGCTTATTACACTTACACTGGAGGATGATTTCTTCAAAGGCTTGTCTCTGCAGCCGGTCCCGTCGCCTCAGCTCCTCTGCAATGTGCCGTTTCCACGTGGGGAAACTCGCAGCTCTGAGCCCAGAAGTCATTTCACCAGCCCTGGCCCCAGCGTCCCGGTTTTCCACTGAGCTGAGCAGAACCAAGCTGAGCCTGTTCCTCTGGCCACGAACACCCTCCAGGGAAGGGTCTTGCGGCTTCCTGGTGCTCGGGGCCCGGCGACTGGGGGCGCTTGGGAAGGGCGCCCAGGCAGAGACAGTGGGGCCGGGGCACAGGAGCGGGCAGGGAGCGCACGCAGCAGAATGCGGACTCGGGGCAGGGGCAAAAGGAAGAGACGTGCGGACACACTGATATGGGGGGGGCAGGGCACTGCCTGAGGGGGGCGAGGCGCAAGCTGGCAGCGGAGGGGGCACAGCCTGGGGAGAGCGGGGGGGGAGGCTCCTGGCGGGGGGGCGGGGGGGAG